GCCAGACAGACATAGTGCTGGTGTGGATATGCTGGTGTGGTTGTGCTGATSTCTGCTATCAAAGTGCTCTTGCTGAGGGTACAATTTGTAACTGGAAAATTATGGGATGCTTTCAGAATTCACTGCAAAATTGCACTTTTTCCAGAATAAATGCATCTGTGCAAGGACATTGGGGCACTGGTACATCAGGCACAAGGACTCTTAGTGCCAGTAAATATCTGTAGGAGACCAGAGTGTGTCTGTGCATGTTGAAGAAAGCAGGATGCATGCAGAGGCACAGGCTTGCCTCCTCAGCAGGGTTCAACACATTTCCTCTGAYAAAAAGGGATGCAGAATGTGTCATAGTTCTTTTGAGAGAAAGCCTCTGAATGACTGGCCTTCCTACAGTTYGCTTATTAAATTTCTGTTAAATAGTTTCCCTTTCTTTCCTTCTACAGAGGGTTCAGGACACTGTGTAATCATAGAATCACAGAGCTGTTAAGGTTGGAAAAGATCTCCAAGAGCATGGAGTCCACCATTAACACGTGCATCCTTATCACCGTGCCCTCCTGAGGGTGTGTTGGCCCAAGGGCTGGTTCATGTGCAGGTGCCACAGGGCTGAGATCCCCACTGTGGGGTGGGATGGGCACTGCATCACTCCAGCRCTCCCTGCCTCTGCCTGCTGCTCCCAGCAGAGCTCCCAGCACCATCAGAAGCCTGTCTGCAGATCTGTAGGGCCAGGAGATTCTGTAAAATTACCTATTTCTACATTTGCTACTCCTTTTGCTTAGAAAAGCAGACTTAGCTTGATCCTTATTTTTAGTKTAGTTTCTCTTGTGTGTATGCTAATTGTATATTCCATGGAAAAGTATAACTGGATGACATTCACAAAGAGATATAATATAAAATATASTGTTATTTTATTCTATTCATRAGTATTTGATAGAAAACAGCAGGTGTTATATTTTATCTTGGAGCAGATAACATTCAAGGAAGAAGAAAAGAAAGCCTCTCCTTTTCTCAYAGGTATGGGACTGATAAATTATTCCAATGATAGATAAGGATAGAACTCACCCAGGTAACAAAGCTTTAGGAAAGAAAAATCACATAATAGTAATAATAATAGTAATAATAAAAGATGATTGTATGCTTTCCCTGCTAAAACCTTGCTTGGATGCAGAACTCCAAAGCTTTGCATGTTATCCTTTCTAAAAGAAAACTTTTTATTGCCCTTAAATTAAAAGAAGCAACAAAACCAATCTTCTGTACAAATGGCATGGATTTGAGGCTTTGACTGACAGTAGATGTCCCAAAGTCTTACATTTTTACTTGATTTTTACATTTATGTGTGGCACAAAATCAAAGTCCAAGTATGTAAGAATTTGTAACTCCAGCTGTCTTTTTATCTATCAAATAAGGAGAATAAATATCCAAATGCTTCTAAGATCGAGAAAATTCTCAGGGAAGGAAGTTAAAATAAGAGAAAAGGAGCCACATGCTCCTCCCTTTTATTTCCATTGGCTTGCTCTTGATCATGAGGAATATTCCTTCAGCAGGTTTCTCCCATTTCTCTTAGTATCTAATAAATATTCTGGGCTACTCCTACTATCTAACAAATACATCATGTACCCAATCAGTTGTGGAGATTCATTCAAGGTTCCTGGTCTGTTACACAACATCTCAAAGAGCATTCTCAGAGTGCCTGGCTTGGGAAAAACATCACAGTTTCCACCCCATTTTTTGGTCACACTGAACCCTCCCTTCTTTTTGATGCTCCTCAGTCCATTCTTAGTGACTTGTTGGCTGCTTTTGCCAGGGTTTGCTCTGCCAGAATCTGTGTGCCAGGTCTGGGTCTGCCATGCAATCTGCTGTCCTGTGCCTTAGATCTGTGTGTTGCTGGTGCTGCTCTCATGGTAAGATGGTAAGAAAAATCCATGTAGAGAGAGGTTCACCAGGGAAATCCACACCTAGGCCCTGGCCAAGACAAAATTGACCAGATGGTCTGGGTGTTGGCTAGTCTGTCTTTGAAATAATTCTGTCAACAGTAAAARAACATTCACTGATTTTTATGGACTAGGTCATGGGCTCTGTGCACAGACTTACAATATTTAAAAAGTCTTATCTTGTTCACTGCACCCAATTAATCAGTTGAGAAAAAGAAATGATTTAAAGTTGTTTGTAATGAARTGCAAAAGAATTAACTCACAAAATGGGTCACATTCTTATATATCAGGCGGTCTCTTGCTGATTATATCTTTGGTTGATAACCATCTGAGTTGGTGATGAATTTCTTCTGTGTGTTCTTCACTATTCCAGTGTAATTGGGCCTTACCTATCTCAGGTATATTTAGACAACTGCCTGCCTGTGGTGCTGTGCAATTGATTTTAAATTAATGCTGGATAGTAGAATAATTGCCTGTGGTAAAARAATAATAAATGGAGGTAGCTCTGAGGTCTGCTCTAGATCATTTTAGAGATCATTGCTTAATCAGACCTTGAGGAATCGGTCACAAATCTGTGCAACTCAATGAAATTGCTTATGCAGAGCTGAGTGTGGTACAGTGAGCTATGAGCTGGGTTTGCAAAGCTTCTGAGTGCACAGAACACCATCTGAAATGAGCCTTTCTTGCTGGTTTTGATTGAACATAGGGAAAATTTGGATACTTTGAAATCGGGTAGAAAATAACGAATGTGAAGCTGAAAACCTGCTGTATTGGAACAGAAACTATTCAGGTATTTAGAACATTAAAAGTACATCATGGTAAATAAAAGTCTGAATCTCTGCTTTSCTTGGCCTGAAACATAGTTGTCCCTCTTTTCTGAGGTCARCRCRACATAATTTGYCATTTGGCTCTTCTGTAAGGTCATTCTTCATCTGTCCTCTGACATTGCAAACATCTAAGATGTGTTTCCAGCACAAAAGTACAAACACTTCATTCTGGAAATCTTTGCATGTAAGGAAATTTTGTCAGAAATTAGGTTCAGCCTAACATTTTTTTTACCTAGCTCGCTAGTACATCTTTTTATCTGAGTAAGGCCTCTGACCTGTGTCTTCAAAGCAATTGAATTTTATGTTAGGCATCTACTGACTCTTTGGAGATGAGAATGAGTCATAACTTGTGATTTTAAAAGTTGGAAGTCYTAATATGGATATCAATATAGAAGTTTAGGTCATTGCAGCCTCCCCAGTTTTGTAAAAACTCCTTTGTAYTTCCCCTGGGCACAGGAAGCCTCTCTGCTAATGTCTGTATGTTAAAGGCAAGGATAGGCTTATTTTGAATTTATCTTATTAGCAAAAACCTCAGGATCTACTCTTTTTCTTGGACCGATGGATTGTAAATAGGCTCAGAGCTGAATCAGAGATTTTGTGTTGTGTTGCCATTCATTAAGTAGACTGAAGTAAAAAGRAAGGGCTGAAGGTCTGACTTGCTTGGCAGGCAGCAAGGGAGAAATCCTGAGCTTGCAACTCTGCCATTCAGTTTAAAAATGCTGAATGCRTCTGACAAAATGGAACATTATTCCTGCCTGTTTTAATTCTCTCTAAACTTTTGTAGTCTGACTTTCCCCAACAAAATGTGAAGATTGCTTCTCTTCTCTGGACCCTGGAAGATMCCTGTGGTTCCCAGCTGCCTTTGAACTAACTAAGCTGCAGCTTGTTTAACAAGACTCAGTTTTGCCAGTTATAATGCAAAATAATTTTCTCTATGATTTGAACTGATCAGGTAGGTGAGAAGAGAAATTAAAATAACTGAGTCAGAATTGCATTCTTGTGGCAAAATTTGACATAATGAAAATGTCCTCTTATGGGTTCTAGCTGAAGGGGAAGGTATTTTTTACAAATGTAAAGGAATTTTTGTTGAACCATTCTTCATTTTTCTTTAAGGAAAAGGAGGGAGCCAAGCTCTGAAGCAATTTGAAATAAAAAAACTGACTAACAGGTTACAAGGAATAAAAAGTATTATRTTTATGGACTATTTTGTATATTTTGGAAGGTTTTGTCAGTTACTTCCTTTGAYGTGATTCTCTGTTTACCTGAGATGCTAGGTGGACAAGAATGTTTCACTTTCTTGACACGCAACAGTACAGATTTTTGATATCATAATTCAGAAATTTTAAAATAATATTGTTTTTTGTACTATTCTGAAGACCCTATGATTTTGACCCTAATGATTTTGAATTCTTAGAATTCTTAGGAATCTATCAACAGACCAAGAATTTGATTCTTGGTCTATTGATAGGGTTTTTTTTTCTATCTTATCAGTGGGCAAGACATAAAATGGGGATGCTATAGTAAAACATTTACATGGGCTTTCACATTTTTTCAGTGATGGAGACATACTTASTTGGTTTTAGAATATTGCATTTTCACTTATTGTCTATTCTTCTACCCAGTTTTATACTAAATTACTCTTCTAATAGATAAAATGTTTTGGTGTTAAAATTATTAAACTAACAGCAAGATTAGTRCTAGTATTGAGCTTTACCACAGACATTGTGACTGGTCCTGGGCCTCCTTCCCTGTCCATCAAAAGGAAGGAGGAGTGTTGATAGTTCATGCTTTCTCCCATTCTTCTTCTAGAAGCAACTTATTTTGCAGAGTGTATAAACATAACCAGGTCAGAAGTTTAAGCATGTGTCTCCAGCTTTGCTTAAAAGAGCATAGATAAATGCCATTAAATCCTTTCCTGAACCAGAATAATGGACTGAAGGCTATTCGAGGTAAGAATAACCTGGGGGCCTGTGTTCGTACTCAGTAGAGAGGCACCTGCAAGGAAAGAGTTCAGAAGGCTTGGGTGGTACAAATGGTTGTGAAGGGTGTTTAATACAAGGCCACTCTATTTTGTTTTGTCTTGGGCTSTCTTTGGAGAAAGAACTTTTCTTCATGTCTGCACAAACTCTTTCACACATTGGTGTCACTCTTCAGGCTGTTCCCTGGCGCTCTGGACCCACATCAGTTCTGCTACCACAGCATATCTGATGGGCTGAGGTTTCTATTTATCACACTGAAGCATTCATTTATGGTCWATTTCTTTGATTTCATCATGATTGTACCAGGGTTGCATGTGAAGCTGCTCTACAATCCTATTAAATTGGGAATGATTTTGTCCCATTGTCCTGCAAAGGAGRAGTCAGCAGACTGTCAGACTGAGAAACTGAGAGAGTGAGTTCTTCCCTATTTCTGTCTTGCTAAASTAATGGTAAGCCCAGCATCCCAGCTGGGAGTCAGGTCTGGTCTGGTCTCTTTGCCAGTCAGTGCTGACTGTGACAGGGGTATAAATAACAGCCCTAGATGCAGTCCTGGCAAGCACTGGCTTTTTTGGTAATCAGTGTGAAAGAGGGATATTGTTTCTTTGCAGAATTGGGCTGTTTATGATTGCAGTTGGCGGAACAGAGGTTAGACTGTAATTTTACTTACTTAATCCCATGCTTAAACATTAATTTAAAACTTCTCTGGGTTTTTTTTTCCCCTCTAGGGAGAAGATGTCTGTTTGGCTTAACATTCAGTGGCGTTTACACTATGTGTGGATGGCTCACAACTTCATTTTCAAGCCTGAAACTAATTTTGCATTTTCAATCCCCTTTCTCCCCCCAGTACTCAGAAGGGAGCTGGAGATTGCTTTAGCTGTCTCATTGCCTATGAGCAGTTGCGTTATGTCTCGTTTTAATCAGGTTGTGCATAAACAAAATACTTGCTCTTAGGCATTTCCCCTGAATGCTGAGGAGCAAGGATTCATATTATTCTGTAGGAAAATATGAATTAATAAACACATATTTTCCCCCAATAAATGATTAGGAGGAGCCATGTRAGGGTAGTGAAGAGTAGAATTATCCAAATAGCAAAAGAATTAAAAAGAAAAACCTGCTAATATTTTAGTTATACARGGAAGAGACTATAACAAACTGTCTGTCCCTTCTGAAAAAAAAAATTCTTATTTGTATTTTAAAAAATCTGAGGTATAATTGGTACAGCCAAGTGTTTCCTTCAGGGACTGCATGTGTTGAATCAGATCAACTCTGTGTACACCACAAGGCATCCTTCTGGAAGACAGTAAAYACACCTACTTTCTTTCCTATGGAGAATCACCTCCCCACCCCGACCCCAAATTGAATAGAAAGGTAATGATGCTTTCTTTTACTTCTTTTTAGTTCCMTCATTGTTTATCTGTGTTCCGTGGTGTTTATTTTCCAGTATAAACTGTGTGTGATTGATACTGTGGGGTGACTAAAAATTAAAGCATGGTGTAACTAACTTTAATTGCACTTTCATTTGCATCTCAAGCTGTTGTCTCCTTATGTCCCATGAGATCAAGATGTGGCATCAACTGTGAAGCCAATTTCCATCAGACATTTTAAACAAGTCAGAGAGAGTAAATGTGTGCAAATCTGTAAATTAAAAATAAAAAAAAAGAGTTCCTCTCAGAGTTAGAATTAATTTCTTCTTTTCCCCTCCCCCCCAGTCTCATGTACCATGTAGAAAGTGTTTCATTCTAGATGAGTGGGTATGTGAAAGGGTATGTTGTYCCTTCAGACATCTTGGTTCAGTTTTGAGTGTAGATGAAAGCACGCYTGACATTTATTTCCAGACTGTATTAGCAGACAGGGCTGCTCTATTCAGTGACTGAGCTTTGTTCGTGCTGAGAGTCAGAGCATGCTGATATACCTCAGAACCCTTTCTTACATGTCCTGAATAAACTGCACTTGGATTTCATTGACATAGCRTATCAGGCTTCAGCAAGGTAAATTTTGTTAAGGATTTATGCATATTCAGTGAGGGCACTAGTATATTTATTGTTGAAAATGGATGCTTTCAGAATTTGTTGTGGAGTTACTGGGCTCAGAAAACCATGGAACAATACTGGTTCYTTTTCATACCATACCCAATCCCCTTTAGAATACAGGATTCAAAGGCAGTAGGTTTTATTGCATAGATATAACTTCAGTGAACCATCAAAAGCCCACATCCACCTCTAGCAAATTTTGTTATTCCTAATGGACARAGAATCAAATCTTTCTGGTATAGATTCTCTTCTGCTGTGTGGAAAAGGAAAAAAAGGAGGATTGCTCAGCTGCCATTATKTTGGTACACTATGAAGCTTGAAGTTGAGTGTTTTATGAATTTGCAATAATTTCCATACTAGYTGGAGACTGCTAGGAAACATTGTGCTCCTATCACTCCCCATCACTCTTTTTAGTGCTTTTTGTAAAGATGATGCTGAGGGTCTGTTTCTTCCGAGAGCTTCTTTTACCTGGGGAATTATGAGAAGGAGRAATGTAGAACTCATTTCTGCACACTATGAACATGACTGTGGGAAGCAGAGCATTTGGCCTTACGTACTATAGATGTATTAAGCTGCCTCTTGCCCTCAGAAACTGACAAAATACAGATATATGTATCAAAGTTAAGTTTCATGTCATTTTGATGTCTTCTCATGAATACCCTGAAAAAGTGTCRTGGTTTAATCCCAGCCAGCAACAAATCCCCACACAGGCTCTTGCTCACTCACCTGTGGGGTGGGGGAGAGAATTGAAAGGGTTAAAGTAAGAAAACGTGTGTGTTGATTTAAAGACAGTGTAACAGGTRAAGCAAAAAGCACACAAGAAAAGCAAAACAAGGAATTAATTCACCACTTCCCATGGGCAGGCAGATGCTCAGCCATTCCAGGAAGGCAGAACTCCATTGCACATAGCAGTGACTTGGGAAAAAGAAAAGAACCAAAACTCTGAATGTTCCTCCTTCTTTCCTCCAGCTTTTTATAGTGAGCATGATGTCATATGGTATCAGATATTCCTTTGGTCAGTTGGGATCAGCTGTCCTGGATGTTTCCCCTCCCAGATCCTCATGCACCCCCAGCCTGTTCACTGCTGGGGCAGTGGGAGAGGCAGAAAAAGCCTTGACACTTTGTAAGCACTGATCAGCAATAACAAACAAATCCCTGAATTATCAATGCTGTTTACAGCACAAATCTTAAACATAGCCCCACACTGTGAAGAAATGTAACTCTACCCAGCCAAAACCAGCCTAAAAAGCCATGGCACTGCTGAGTGTATTGTAAGCCTGAACTCTTCTTTCACAAAAATCATGCAGGCTAAATCAGAGTCTGGTGACTCTGAGCCCATGCCTCAGCTATGCCAGACATAAGTGTGGAGCTCTTCCCAGGTGCAGCTCTGTCATTGCTGGAGATCACAAAGGGACTACCCTCTCAAAACATCTTCATTGAAACATAGATCAAAAAGAGACAAAGTTTTGCATAATACCTGGTTATAACACGTGATTGAAATTTTCAGCACTCAAAATTTTTGAAGGGATAGAAAGAGACACTTATTTCCCACCTCTGCTTTATCTGAGATTAGAAGAACTGGGAACAGGTTGACCATGGAGTCACATGGATTCCTTAATATGGAAATATTTTTTTCTTGTCATGGTTTGGTAGACTGTCTCTATCCCTGTAGTTCTGGGCTTGTCCTTGTACTGGTCTTCTCCCTTACCTTCCCTGACCCTGAACTATGCTTAAAAAAAATTTAATGTGGGGAAAATGTGTTTCCAATCCTTTAATTGCAGAGGCAACTTTAAAAGTATAAGTAAGTTAAATCTGTATGAGTTCCCAGGCATTCTGGCTAAACCTAAAATGAAGATATGACCAAGCTGGCTTTGAACTGTGTATAGCCGATATGACAAGGGCAATGCTGAATTAAAGCAGCTAATTATCTGTGATGAAAAGCTAATACACAGGGCTGGGTCAAGGCAGCTGCTTTGCTTCTGGACTGGCTTGTTCCGAGGAGCCCCGGGGTTCTCTCTGAGCACACACTCCTCCAGCAGTGAAAGGTCGTACAGCTGTAGCTGCCATTGCTAATCTTATTGAGGGGCTGTCAGAAATTGCATCCTGGCTCCTGCTCAAGCTGTGAACCTGGAGTGCACAAAGCTGCTTCCTCCTTGCATCCCGTTGCTCTGATTTCTGCAGAAAGGAAAGTGGAGCRAAATCCAGGAGAATCCCAGATTAGCAATCAAAATCCTGGAGCATGCCCTGTTTTGTTCTTGGTAATTAGGAACAGCCTCAGGCAGTCAGGGTGGAGTCATCTCATTTAACTGAAGGTGCTGGAAGATTAGCTATCACTTCTGGACTGGCTGGTCTCCTCAAAAGGAGAGAGCACGTACTTCCCGTGAATGCTTTATCTCTCCTGGAACAAATGAGTTGAATCACTCTGAAAGTGTCTGCCTTTCTCCGCTGACTGCATTGAAGAAGCCTCAATRGTAACACACAACTTGATGCTGGTCTTTGAGACAGCTGAAGTTCGGTGAGGTGCATCTTTTGGTATTTCAAGTGTCACCTCAGCTATGTGCTGCAACACTTGACATTCAGGGTATGTAAGAGAAAAGGCATGTTTCTAGTCTGAAGATCTGTACTACCTGGTATGAATAACAGCTTGTTCATTGAAGCGATGAGAAGGTGATATATGGGAATAAACCATCTGAGACCATTTAAGAAAAATGCAAACTCAAAAATCCTTCAAAGTGTAGGAGTTCTGACAAATCAGTCTATGAATACAGCTGTAACAATTGCACAAGTAACTAAAACTAGCTCTTTATAGATCAAATTAGCAAGGCACACATTATAGGTGGTATTGTAGGGGAGTATACTACTTTATTTCCCTTGGCTTGACTCTTATTCTGGCCTTTTTGTTCCACCAAATGCTTTTCTGTTTAATTTCCAGTARATAGCAGCAGTTCACACAGAGTACTTTTTTTCTTATTTTTTTCAGTGCATGTGCATGTGAATCAATGAGGACCTTAAAATGTTTCCATTCAGAAAGCTCAGTAGCATTTTAATACATACAATACATGCTGGTTTTGTCACCACAGCTAATTTCTGAGGAGGCTTTTTAAAGTATTGAATTTATCTTGAGATAGAGCCAGTTAGAAACACTTTTATTCACAACACCAAGGAATAAAAGAAGAAGAAGAAGAGGAAAACGGGACTTTTCTTAGTCAATTTTTGTAGGTTAAAGTAACATTAAGTTAGCTGAAAGAAAGCGTATTTTCTTCAGAAACTTGATGAAATGCATGATTTGTTTTAGAAGCAAGAATCATCAATGATTTGAAATGTCCTGACAAACATTATTGAACCAAAGTCCTCTGAGTTCCTGAGTTTGGTGCACACCCTGGCTGTGACAGAGCGATAGTTTCAGGCTGCTAAATTGGAATGGCTGTGTCATGATGCACCTGCAAGGTGTCTCTTGAAGTGGTTTTTTGTCCAGGTGGGAGCACAGAGGTGTGCTYTCGCAGAAGTTGATTCTATTTGGCTTCAGCTGCAAAACAGACCCCTTTTTTTGAACAGATTGAGAGCTTATTTCTGGGAAATGAGAATAATGACATTGTTACTATATTGGATCTGTAATCAGATCCCTAGAAGGTAGGAAAAATAGATTATGAAACAGGAAAGTGAGTCAGTATCATTCTTACGTTGCACTGTACATTTATTYCACCTAAACTTCTAATTATACTTAACATGCTTTGATTTGAGTAATTTCTTTAGTCTTGCCATTTGTACACGTAAYTTTATCTACTGTGGATTTTTCAGTAAATTCAGAATTAAAATTGCTACTCACTTGTAATTGTTTGAAATTCCTGCATGGCATTTTTCCTCTGAAAAATTGGTTGCAGCTGGGTTTTGCAGAGGCAGCATGCTGTGTACAAGCACCTCAMTTCCAATAACCAAAGGCAGTTGCATAGAAGTCAGTTTTCTTTCATATCTGCAGAACAATTTTGGGAATCTTAATCTGAGTCTGTGTTCTGAAAGTATTCAAGGCATTAGACAGAATAATACAAGATGAAAAGTTTTAAACTGAAGGTAAATTAGATTGATTCCTTAGCTTTTTTAAAATTTTTATATTTTTTTATAGTGCATTTAGCTATTGTTGCAGTTCCTGTTGGTATTTATGCAGCAGTGAGTTGAAAGCTGAGATGTTATATTCATGGCTTAATTGTTAATAGTTTTTTTTGTCTTCAGATCTCACATGAGTTGTGAGGAGAAAGATGCCATGTATGATGGAATCCTTTACTTGGCAAGCAACTCCACTGACATAAAGGATGACAAAAGCTGAGTGGAAATAAGATTGAGTTATTTTTGAATTGTGCTAAATTCACAATTGATGAAGTTCAATAAAAGAGACTGATGAATGACTGAAATCTACATTTCTGGTTCATGGCCTAAAAATGCCTGTAGGCCAAAGCAAACAACTTTTCAGCATGCTCAGGACAGAACYTGGACAGAGATTTGCTTTATGWTGATCTGACCTGCCTCTATGGCCTMTCTTTATTCCAGTTACCAAGCAAATGGATTAATTATTTGGACTTTCTTTCATTGATGCTTATGAAAACAATGAATGCATGACTTAGCTTATTGGCATTAATCAGCTGTATTAAAATTTTAGGAAATGTGAACTACTWCTTTCTTGTACAGTAATCAAACACTGATTTCATCATTGCTTGAAATGTGGTTGGACAGCTACCACTGAGCTCTGCCGCAACCACTTCCTGTGCAGGGACCCCACCATCTTTGGRCAGGTGTGTAGAGCTCTGTTTTTAAGCAGAGCAGAATAAAAGCCACTTAAMCATTTAAAATAACTGTCCAGAAATGTGAAGGCTAATTGAAAAAGCTTTGAACTGATGTCTGTCTTCCTTGGCCATGTTGATCAGAGCTCAGTTGCACATGATTAATAAACATTTTTTTTTCAAAAATAAAATGCTATTAAATTGCACATCCAACAACTGACAATCCTAAATGAGTCAAATTTGGTCCCAGTTACTGGATCTTATTCCATCATTTTTAATAGAGTKACTGAACCTGCCTCATTGTTCCTGTTTCTGCAAACTATTAAGCAGCTAACTCCACATATAAGCAGTGAATAAAATACATGAAAAAACTTGTATATAGTTTTTACTTGTATATAGTAGCTTGGAGGATTCTTCCACACAGTTCTGTAACACCCGTGTGATTTGTTTATTCTCAATAAAAATATATTCTTGATATAAAGAAWTTTATATCAATAAAATATATTTATTCTCAAGCTCCACAGATACATTAATAAGCAGATCTCTGTGTGGCACAGTAGAATACATTTAAGTGACAGCAGCCGTACGTTTAAGTGATTATTATTTATTTTAAGTAGATTTAATTACAGTAACACATTAATACACAGTTATCATCAAGCTAGATTGGAAGACACAGACTGGTAAAAATCCAGTCTACTGGTTGCATTGTACTATGGTGGAGTAAATTGATTAGAAAGAGAAAGTTAAGAATAAAGGAAAGCTAAAAAAAAGTGGAATTTTATATTAAAATAGTAAATTTGATGTTCAGAAGAGCATCTGGCTATCAGTTCAAAATCCAATCCATATGGAAAATGGGACCCTGGGAATTTAGAAGAATTTAAATCCTTACTAGTGATTTCTTTTCATATTTTCAYCAACCTTTCCCCTGAAGATTGCTAAATGCTTCTCTCATAGGAAGAGACTAAAGCCACAAGTAGTCACTGAGCATTTGTATTTGCTCAGTAGTAGTAGTATAGTAAATATATGTGGTATTAGCTAGTGATTTTAAGAGTTTGTGTGCATCCCTCTCAGAATGGAATATAAATTTCTGTTATTAGCAGAGGCAGCTTCCATGTATTTAAATGTCTGGAGTTTGTCACAGATAAACTTTTCATGATTATTTTGGCAAGCAGCAGCCGCTGTGTTTAGTGAGATGGCTCAGTGATATGGGTAATTCAGCACTTATTCACCGAAAGGGGAGAAATAAAAGTTCCTCGGCATAATGTGTAATGAATGTGTCTGACTTCAGTGACTACAAGGGGCGGATGGTGAATCATCTTCCTGCAAGACTGAATATAGCTTTTTCCCCAATACTTTCTGACATTTTCGTACCAGACAATACATAAATCTATCTTTTTTTTCATGCAGCTTGGCTTTAACAGCATCAAGCAAGTTATGCTGAACAAATCAGTCTTACTTGATGTCTGTTGTTAAAGAGTTTATTATTCTTTCAGATTATCATGCAAGCTATTAATTGTTACCATTCCAAGTGCACAGTTTTGTCTGTATTCACTTGAAAGTTATTTTGCATTATTTTAAGGAAATTGGTTTCAAAAGACATAATACATTAGGCATTYGATATTACCCTGGAAGCTACAGAATTTTCCCTTCTTATTTCAGAATTGAGGCCCATAACTTCTTTCCTAACAACTTCAGAATTTTTTCCATGTACACAGTGCTAATTTCTTCTGTTGCTGGATGCTGGTTTTGCTTTTCCTGTCCAGATGAGTTGATCTGTCCTTCAGCAGATATAAGCTGCTCACCAGACAACTTTGTATCAAAAACATACCTTTGAGTTCTGGTAAATATTTTAGGATTTTTCAAGCAGAAAGTGCTATCTTGGTCCATGTTCTTGCTCTCTCCCAGTTTTACCCTCTTTCTGTCTCGAGCAGAATCCTTTTTCCATCTCTTTTTTTTTATAACTCTAACACTCTCCAATGCATTTCTTAGTGGTGTAAGTGTGTTACTGACCTGTTGGGCAATGTGACTGCCACTGTCCTGCACAGCTCTGGACAAGACAGCAGTGTGGGCTGTGTCACACATCCAGTAACAGCATTTATAAAGTGTTTTCTTGCATAATAATGTAAAACTTAGTGTAATTGTTTCAGTCTCACTATTTGGTCCAGAGAGTTGCATAATTGACAGTAATACTTATTAAACTTATTTTTCTGGGATAGTTTTTTTAGTCTAATGAATTGTAGCTCCTGGTGAGGTCCCACAAGACAGCATAGGGTTTTAAAAGGAAATATTTTTCCCTCCCACAACATTTCTGTTTTCAAGTGCCAAATACTTTCAACCTGCCAAAAATAAGCGTATAATATTACATTTATTCGTCTACTCCTTTTGACTATCTCTAAACACATGTCAGTCTCGAGCTCTGAGCTGGAATCTTACCTGCTGACAAGCTGATGTGGAAGTCATCTGAGTTAAGAAGAGAACAGATAAGGTCTTGATGCATCATCTCAATAAAGGGCTGGGGTAGGAGCTCATGGGAGCCATCCAAGCTGCAGCATCTGATTGGCCATGTGGGCCTTTATTATCAACTTAAATCCCTTCAATGCCAGTCCTAGATGCAATTTGTAGGTGAGAAATCACTTGACTTTGAAAGTGTTCCTGAAGGACACAGCTCTCACCAAAACTCAGTCTAATAGCTCTGCTTTGGGACTCTGAAAAAAGGGGCTGTCAGCTTGGTGAGAAATTGCTTATAGACAGAGAATTTTTCTTAAAGCAAATTGATATTTATTGATCATTTCTTTTACAGGAAGAAAAATGCTTTGTGTAGAGTCTTCACAAAAGGCCCTTTCACACAGGACCGGGTGAAGTAGCTTTGTTCCTCTTTGGAATGCAAGCTTTATCGTCTTTCTTCTTTATCTAAGAACAATTTTTCTCAATGTGGTTTCATTTCTAGGGTTAGGGCTTAATAGGAACTTGTGTATGAGATTTACTCTGCTTCTAGTTTCCACTTTAGAAATAAATTATGTTATTGAGGTTACATAATGAGTTGGTCAGTTAATGAACTCTTTAACAATTACTAAAAATTTAAATTAAAACCTTACAGAACTTACTAAAGGACATAAAAGACCTGGTTTAAAGGAAAGATTGTTTTCTTTTTCATTAAAATTAAAAAACCCAGTTTGATGGAAGATCTGAGTGTTTTATAGAATTACAAAAATTGTTTATACTGGTGTCTGTTGACTTTTAAGCTAAGGAAAAACTATAGTGAAGGGTAATATAAATTAGAGCTAGCCCAGAAATGRCACCAGGATTTTGTTAATTTGGAATTGAGTATGAAACAAATAGGAGCAGAGAATGCAATCTTTCTTCTCTGATCTCCTTCACAAGTCTGTATTCAGAATCACTTGTGAACAAAAGCTTCTCAACCAAAAGCTTATTAAAACCATGTATATATACTAACACTTTTGAACAAATGGAGTTTTAGATCCAGAAGGCTGGAGTTWTATGGAGACTTGATCTTACATTAGGAAGATCTTGGTTGATAACCTTCTAAACATCTCTAAGTCCTGGCTGTGATGGTAACAAGGCATTGACTGCATTGTAATGGTGCTGAGTCAGCCACACTCTGTGGAGATTACAGACCTGTTATCACCTGCAGAATGTTCATCTAGCAGTGCTCAAGGCTATAGGAGTCTAGCATTTTTYTTGTCACCCTAAAACACTGATCTGGGGAAGACCCATTTGGGCTTAGTCCYTGGCAATTCAGCCATCCATTTTAGCTACCCTCTTGAAAATGTAAAGCAAAGCATTCCTTGCACTATTCTTAGCTGTGATGAGATCATTTGACATACTACTCGTGGTTTTCTAATTTTTACATAATCTATTCTGCTGATTWATATTATGAGAAATGATTGTTTGGAGTGCTGGAATTTGGAGAGTGAAGCTTTTATTTTTTCTGTCCTCCTTCTGCTGCCCCGGACATGATTGGTTTCTCTTTGATTCCYTTTTGGCACTCACAGTCATATTATTCCTCTTCCCTTAATGTTGATACATTCTTTTTGTCTCTTTTTGACCTTCAGAGAAACACTTTTAAGATGATTGAGCTTAAGGCAAACYGAGCGTGAGGATGTGTCTTGAATGAATGCTGCCCAAGGGAGTGGGGAGGGTGGAGGGGCAAGGCAGCTGAGCAGAAACATTCAGTGTATTTCTTAATTATCCTTTCACAAATTRTTTTTAAAATTGTTCAAAAGAAGACAAAATACTTTGGGCAGGGAACACTACTTTATTAATTTTCCATTTATTAAAAAATTTTTCTCTTGAATGACCTCCATGGGCTATTTCTYCGGTTGTGTTTATGCAACATTTTCTCTTTGAAATCTTAATGATAATCTTTATGCAAAGAAAATAATGAATTCACAGTGTATTTTAAGCCACATTTGATCACGCAGCCAGACCTGCTAGCAAAAAACAGGTAGTTAAACAGGTAGGTAGTAAATATCTACAGTCATTGCTTGAAAGYTATCAATTATTTGTGTTCCCAAGTTTAACTGTTAAAATGAATATTTACCCTGCAAACTGAGTAATAGCAGCCAATCCAAGCGAGTCATTTGCTTTTCAGTATTAATTTTGCTTCTTGTRCCAGGCTCTGTAAATGTGTCATTGTGGCAGTGCCATACATTTGAAATGTCAAATTATGCAGTGTCTAGTGTCATAAGAATAATATTAGCAGCAGGGAGAGACAAAAAACACCATGCAGAGAATAAACCCTTGTTTTCAGTATCTGCCTTACCTGGTGTTGCAGTGCAGTGGACAGAGTAATCTAAGCGTTGTTTGGATGTATGCAGGTACATCCTTTGAGTATTTTAGCCACCCCTTGAGGAGACTTTCTCTTGTTCTGAAAACAAATGGTTTGTGCACTTCATCTGCAGAATTTCTATCTTTCTCTATGTTCTTGCATCCAAAGTGAGCATACCAGAAAGGGCAGAAAAATGCTATTMTTTTTAGTACTTATTTTGCAATTATTGTTAATTCACTAGCCTTTTGTGAGRTATTATAGTATTAAAGCAAAAATAAGAGACAAACTTTCAGATGGCTACATTTTATATGCAGTGCTTTATTCTGCTCTCCTGCCACCCCATTTACCATCAGATTTATACCACTCTAGCACAGCAACTGAAGATTAAACAGGGATTAACCTTTTTGGCTATCCACAATTTCTCACACTATTTGTAGAATTAATATAATCTACCACTGTGTTATTATTGTCCTGGTGGAGTAATACTTCTAATACTTTTGTGGAGGTTAGAGAAGTCAGGGTTGTGTAACAAYCTATTTATAATAATAAGAAAAAGGTGATCACATTATTATTCTCAAGAGGCTTCACAGGAGGAGGGCCATATTATGTTGTGTTTTGCCATTCAGACTGTGTGTTCCTACCCAGATTCTGTGCTGTCTGTCCCTGCAGCCAAGCAATGCCACCTTGCTTCCACTGTCCCTGACCCCTTTTCATGCCTCTTTCCACTCCATCAGAGGATTTAAGAAGGAGGTATTTAAGTACAGAGCTATTTCTGCCAGCATTTTCTCTTATGGTTTGAACATTTCAGKCTGGTGAATGAGTTGAAAGGGCTGAAATTCAAATTTAGTGTCCTTGGGCTTGATTAATTTACTCATGCTTGAACATCCAGTGGTGTCTGAGCTATTGAGAGTATCCAACAGCCTCTAGAAGTGAATGRGTCTCACAGAGGTCTTGTGAAATATATACCAGCTCTGCAGGGATTTGTCAGATGCTCTGGTGTGTCTCAAGTGACACTAAGGCATTCAAATATGCATAACCACACCAAACCCTAAGTAATCCATTTGCAAACTGGAAATGTATCTTCCATTTTCTGAATGTCCAGTTCTGTAAGAAAGCGATGAAGAAACTGTGATATTCCTGAAGGGAAAGCAATTGCCTGCCAAGATATCTAAATGCTCACACTATTGGTCAGGTCCAGGAAACAAACACTAGGGAAATTTTAGACATTTCAACCAACTGCTTGTGTAGATGCAGGGATTAAGAGAAATAGAATCCCTAGAGGAAGGGACAGAGTGTACCCTCAGCAAGGTCACTRATGTCACAAAACTGCAAGAGTGGCYGATACCCCAGAGTGCTGTTTTGCCATTCAGTGGGAGATGGACAGGACGGAGAGCTGGGTAGAGGGAAAYATAGTGAGGTTCAACAARGAYAAATGCAGGATCCCRCCCCTGGGAAAGAATAACCCYATAYACCAGCACAGGTTGGGGCTGACCTGCTGGAAAACGAAAACAGCTCTGCTGAAAAGGAACTGGRGGTCCTGGTGGACAACAAGCTGTCCATGAGCCAGCAGTGTCCTTGTGRCCAAGAAGGCCAATGGTGCTCTGTGGTGCATTAGGARAAGCATTKCCAGCARGYTGAARGRRGTGACCCTGCCCCTCTACTCAGCACTGGYGAGGCCTCAYCTGGAGTGCTGTGYCCAGTTCTGGGCTCCCCAGCTCAAGACAAACAAGTTACTAGTGGAGAAGCTTGCAGAGGGCTAGGAAGATGATAAGGTGCCTGGAGTGTCTTCTTATGAGGAAAGGCTGAGGCCTGTTCAGGCTTGGGAAGAGACGACCAAGAGGCGATCTCATCAATGTGTACAAATATCTTATGGGCTGGTGTCAAAATGATGGCCCAAGACTCTTTCCAGTCATGCCCAGTGACAGCACAAGGGGCAACAGGTACAAACTGAAATAAAGGATGTTTCACCTGAATGTGAGGGAAAAATTCTTTACTTTGAGCATGGCAGAATACTGGAACAGGCTGCCCAGAGAGCCTGAGAATCTCCTTGACTGGAGATATTTACAACCCACTTGGATGTGAGATCCTGTGCAACCTGATCCAGATGAACCTGCTTTAGCAGGGGGATTGGACTAGATAATCTCCAGAGGKCCCTTCCAAGTCCRACCCTTCTGTGGTTCTGTTCATACCCCCATTATTTCTAATATCCTTTCAATATGCTGAAGCCCARTGTCTGAGATTTCCAAATAGCACAAAGCACTGGATTTCATTACTTAAACATGGGGCACATCTGTTTCCTACAGTCACATGAAACTTCAGGCCACTAACGCAGCAGACATCTGTGAGCTGCTGTACACAATTCAGTATGAATACTGATGTGTTTGGTTCCTATTTTTGGTACCTTCCCTGGTTCCTAGTATTTMATCTTATGAAATTTTATTTTCTATAAAATTTCAAGCTACATGATTGTATTACGTTTTATATATATAGTTCTCTGGATGTCTTTGAGAATTTATAAAAGTGCATCATTGTGTTACTCATACTTTAAATATACAGGTGTAAAAATACTACACATACTCAACAATGCATATGTCTTTGTTTCACAAATGTAACCTATTAATAAAAGATGGTTAAACATTTCTTGTCATTTATCTTTATTATTTGTTTTKATTCCAGTGTGGTTATTCTCTCAGTGTTAAAAGTTAGGAGTCAAACTGTGGAAATATGTTTGGCCTCATGAAATGTGAAAAAGAAATAATACATGTGTGTTCTCATTCTGCATTCATACAAATCACATGTGSCATATTATAGTTGCAATATGGTAATGGCTTTTTTATCTACCAATGACTAAAGAGATATTGACAAGAAAGAATCATGACAAATCTGTAATATCATTGAATCTCTTTAACTGACACTGTAAGAACAAGACCAAATGGCAGGAGTCCAAATKGTGCTGCATTTGTTCTTAAAAATCTCTGAACACAAGGATTTCTTAACTTCCCCAGGCTGYTTCAGCACTTAACTCTCCTTATATACAGATTTTCCCCACACCTTAYAGAAATCTTCTTTACTAGTGTTGCTGATTTCTTGTATAGGGGATACACAGAAAACAATTTATCACTGACAGTATTTCCCATCATCTCATTATGCCTCTCCTCTATTTGAAACTAATTCAATCCTATTGCTGTATACTCTCTCYTCATACACCGTGTTTATCAGTCTTGTTGATTTCTGCTGAACTTAATTTCCAGTTGTCACCTCTATGTCTGATGAACCATATCCACACATCCCAGATTTGCATTTGCCTTTTTGTGTCAGCATTGCACAGGTTGCTCCAGTGCAGTTAATAGCATCTCAGTCCACTTCTGCTAGAGGGTTTGGGGTTTTTTTTTTTGCCAATTATTATTATTCGTGGATATGAGGTACCTCTGGTGTAGAACAAAGGACCCAACCATGTGAGGYGTTGTATGAGCAGAACACATCATTGTTTTGCCTCCAGGCAGACCCTGCTGCATTCTTGCACATCCCAGTGCTGTTCTTCCCAGGAAAGTGGGGGCGTTTCTTTGCTGTGCACTACTTATTGTAGCTCATCTGAGACTCTGTCTCGTATCTACTACTTGAAGTTTCTTTGAATGATTTGGTTATATKAAACCTTCTGTTTCCAGTAGTTAGTAAAAGTTAGCTGAAAGGACCAGCTCTCTGAAGAATGTGTGCAGATAGTTTTTCCTTGTAGCACAGAAACTGCTGCTGTTTTTATCCAGCATGTCCTCAGAAAGCAGTGCTTTTCAACCTGTGTATGGCATCAAACTGCTGGAACTGCTTTCTGCAACATTCATTTTTGCCCTTGACATTTACAAAGCCACAACCAGGAAAAAATCTCACAGTCGTTGTATCCAAACTGTGGATACAGCATCATAGTCATATGGATCAGTGAAAGCTTTGCCTTGGTGATTAGTACAGCCAGGAATCCACATGGCATAGCATAAAGTACATTTTTGTATTCCCCGATTCTCCTTCCCTTGTCTTAAAGAAGCACAGAATAGGCATCCGGTGTCTGCATGTGACACGCAGCTGGTTGGCAAACTTAGTTAAATCATCCTGGGGAATTAGACTCTTTGAAAGCCAACTAATACAATATTTCCTCTAAATCCTGTATTTCCYGCATCCATCTTTAATTACAAATATCTCTTCTTCCTCTCTTTCTTTTCACAGTCATTAAATGAAAGTGAGAATATTAACGTCTAAAGCAATCTATGTGCCTGGCATTGTCTGGGACCTCCTAATGCTACAGACAGGAAGATTTACTGAACGTGAGCATTTCCCCTCTGTGGCTCGTTCTGCTGAGAGATAACAGTGCTGCTTCTTTTCAGCAGTGTAGGTACACTTCTATCATAGAATCACAGAATGCTGAGGATTGGAAGGGACTTTAAAGATCATCTAGTCCCACTCCCCAATGCCATGGGCAGGGGCAGCTCCCACTAGACAGGTTTCTCAAGGCTGCATCCAACCAGGCTTTGAACACTGCCAGGGTTGGGGCACCCACAACCTCCCTGGGGACCTTGTTCCCATATATCACCCTAAAGGATTTCTTCCCAGCATCTAGCCTAGATTTTCCTTCTTTCTGTTTGCACCCATTACTCCTTATTCTATCACTGCAGT